AACTCAACGTTTATAATATTACTGTAATAATGTTTACCAGTCAAATAAGTCAATCTAGTATCTATATATACATACAATGATAATATAAATTATACATATTGTAGACAACACATAATATTATAATAACAATTCATATATAGGGTGCTTCAATAACTACGGAAATATTGTAACAATATTATTATTAGGTACACGAATATCATGAACCGTACTGAAAATTATGATCCTAACTATTCTGTACGTCAGTTTCTCTCTATTGCAAAAATAATTATTAATAATTTCAAACAAGATACAGAAACTATGCTGTTTTTGAAATTCATCTTAAATAGTTAAATCCTTTACTTATAGGCTTATGTCAATATATTGTATTATTTTATGTTTTAAAAAGTTTMATTTTATTTTCATAAACGAAGTATAGTTTTACTGTTAAGGGTATTTTTTAAACGTAAATGTTAATTATTCATAAAATAAAATTATGATCCAATTAAATATCTTTGAGATTTTATAAAAATATAAGCTGTGTAATATAATTATTCTCGTATTCAAATATCAAGTGTTAAATCCCAATATTACAACATTTTCAAAGAAATATTTGAAGTTTTAAATTCATAACATTCGTTTTTATAAACTATTGTGAAATGATGTACCAATTTGATGTATTTTTCCTCCGTTGGGAATTACACCCAATATTTTTTCTGTTTTGGTTTTTTTTCGGTACTTTTCTGTTGTATTTTCTAAATCAAATTTCATATCAATGTTTGCGTGTAAAAACACGCGAACGTAAAAATATAGAAACACTATCGATATTAAAATGTAACTAATTAATTTAAATTATATAATCAAATTAAATTTTTATTTTATTTTCCTCATTTAATGAAATTACATAGGTATTATATCGACTTTAAATATTAAGCAATATTATGTTATTGTATTTTATGGAGTCTTAAAAATATTAAACCTTATTATAAATATACAACTAATGATAAAAAGTCCCTGAAATAATTGTCTCTTTTTAATTCTATATGCTTAAGTAATGGTATTACATTTTTAATAATTTTAAATCGTTATAAATTATTAGTTCGAATTTAAGATAAACCAATAATTAATATATGTATCTCGATTTTTTTAATTAACGTTTCGAATACCCACAGCCATTTTCTTTATAAAGTTTTAGTTATATAGGTACTATATACAATAATTATTATTCGTAGAGTCAAACTTTATAATCACATTTCATCCAATTTTACCTGTTTTGAAAAAAGATCAACTTTTAAACGTTTGTTTATGAGTTTAATCTGAAAGGAAAATAAAATTTTAATGACGTTCTGGATTTTAATATATTTTTGTTGTTAATGAACTGACTTTAAAAGTTGTTCGATATTTTTCTCGTTAATGTGAAATCATAAAACGACCAAAACCGAATCGGAAATACTCTTTTCACCACACACAAATGTTGTTCGTGTGAACGTTTATATCTATACGAGGGTATAGTGTCCCATTTTCCCTTATTACTTCTTTTTTTTTTCTGTGGACAATTAAATAAAAAAGAAAAAAGAACATAAAAATTCACGCACAGTAAGATATACAAGTGTCGCCTATATATGAACCAGTTATTTATATGAGTTTRAGTCATTAACATTGTGTTTAATACTCTTTTCTTTCTTAAGCACGCACTTAAAAATTCTTTTAATTTCGTTTTTGTATTATTATATACAGTACTTACCTACTTGACATAAACATGTCTGAAACACATAATAATATGACTTCATAAAACTGGCCAAGGTGCAAGGTATATTAAAAACCACACCCACAGAGCTTGTGTTCCTATACATTATATAATTTTATATTAAGCTAAGAATTTTACAATTAATATATACCGAGACAAAGTTATTATTTTTACAAATGTGCTAATTGCATGTGAGTACCRTGATATAAATATGTTATTAGACATTTAAATTGAGTTTTATCCTCATAATTAAAAACACAATAGAATTRTTAGTTATGAAATTACATTAATATATTTTCATTTTTGGACAGTTAACTTTTCAAAAAGATTTTTACGTTGTAACATGTCTTTTACAATTTTTTGTTTGTTTCACCTTCCACTATAGAATTATCAATGACGTGAATTTTTTTTTTTTGACAGTGTTGTTAGGTTCGAAGTGCACAATTTATACGAGAGCGTGACATAACTATGAACCTTGTTAAATCGTCTATTTCCGTGGACATTTCCAAATCCTTGTCCGTGACAAGTAATAAATTAAATAATTGAAGAACAAAAACTAAACACATACTTTTAATTTGGACAGTATGCTTAAAAACCATTTTGATTATATTATTTTTGTATTAAAATTATTAAAATTAATGCATTTTAATAATCTTTAAAAWCTTTGTGTTTTAAATGTTGTAATAATAATTATTAATGATACTCCCTACTACGCATTAATCAGTTTTAAATCTGTCTAATTTAATCATTACATTCTATTTACACGTTCGTAATATTTTTTATGATCCAATTGGAGTGTTGAATAAAACAATAATAATAAAAAAAAAACATTTTCATCACATTCTAATTGGATTCTATTTTGAGGTGTAGCCGCTAGCTGTTTCTAAATAATCTATTGTTGGTATATTTACAATACAAGTTTTCTAAAAAAAAAATATGAGTTATAAGTAATAAATTAACCATTAACTAAACATTTATTGAATGATATCATACCTTTTTTAGTTAATATCCATTCTTATAATATCCTTAACCCACACAGGGCCCCCACAAGTGGGTGGGTCAGAAGGACCCATGGTACGGTGGCCCGGGGTTGATGCAAATAATTACTTCAATATATATTAAAAAAATGTTTCAAAATTAATTGTTATTTAAAAGGGGCCCGGATTTAGTGTTCTGTACTAGGGCCAAAAATATGGTATTATTAATCATCAAATTATATTTGATTCATTTATTTAAAACACATATATTTTACCAACTCGAAAATGAAATTCGTGTTTTACGAAATAATTTTCAAACTAAATTGAA